GGAGAGAATTGGTCAACCAAGGCAATTCAACACAATGAACATTTGTGTGTTTATCATTAGGATTCAATATGAAGCTTATCATTCATCCCAAATTGGTTATAGCAATCATGAAGCATTATATGCCAAGATTCCTCATACATAGTATGGAGGTTGGGGATGCCCACAACACACCTTCTTAATCAAAATCAGGATTCAATAAGCAACTGAACTCAAGAAAGTTGATTAGCCTTAAGAATGAAGGAATCCCCAATTCCTAGAGGATGTTAATGCTTACACATCCATAGAGGAGTCATGATCCATAAGCTAGAGATGATTTGTACCATCATAAAGCCCTTGTTCTAAGTAAATTCAATGATTCAATGCTAAACCAAAGAAATAAACCAACAATTGCTCATTTAAGTACCAAGCTCATGATCAAAGTATTAAACAAGCATAAGAAATATTAACTAGAATCATAAACATAAGATAAATGACAATCAAACATGAATCCTTCAAAACCCACAAATATCCAAGGGTTTTAGCCAAATTTAACCAAAATAAAGAAATTAGCCACTCATGGGAACAAGATAACAATGACAAAAGTGTTTTTTGCATCAAGAAACTAACAATTACTAGAAGAATGAGAAGAATGTAGATCAAGCTCTCAAAAATTGCCTCCAAGGTGCTCCAATGGTGAAAAATCGAAGTGTGGCTGCCAAACCTAACCCCCCAAGGTAAATGGTAAGCAAAATGACCAAAATGCCCAAAAGTGTGCAGTTGTGCGGGTACCCTTGCAGAGTTATACGACTGAGACTCCACCCTCGCAAATGATGTTGGAATGCTAGTGGCTCTTTTTCTCCACTACACCACCCCCACTACTCAAGATTCCATTGGTCCCCTCCACACCTCACATGATTCAAATTTGGCCAATCATCTTCAATCTTCAAATGTGGACTGTCCAAGCCCAAACTAAGAATCCAAGACCCATCTTCATAAGCCCACTTCATCCAAGTCTTCAACATTTTAAGCCCAAATCTTCTTTGATGTATTCGTAGAGCCCAATGACGCCTCTAAAGCCCACAAAGCCCGTCTCCAAGCTAATCCACAACCGCAACGAGCTCCAAAAACCTGCAAAATATCTCATGCAAAAGAGAAAGTACCTGATACGATCCAACATAGAGAAAAGAAAGGAAATGCAATGCAATAATTAACAAAAAGGACTAAAAATGCTAAAATAAACTATATAAAAAAAGAAATAAAACAAACTATCACCACGGTGTGGCACTAGGCCACCACGACGTGACGAGTAAGGGATCGGTCGATTGTTTTGTCATCTTATGTCGACACCGTGGCCAAGGAAGACCATGACGTGGAGGACAACTGTGTTTAACTTTGACTTTGATTTGGGTTGACTTTCGACCAACCCCTTAGCTTTGGAAGGTAGACTAAGAGTTACCTTGTATGACTATCTAGGTGTGGTGTAGCACTTGTATAGACTAGCAGTGAGAGCCGCAGCAGTTGATTATCGTCTGAGAGGTGAGTTCATTCACTATACCCGTGGGTCGAATGCACCAATGTCGGCCCACATGATTATGTTTGTAGGAGGATGGTTGCATTTGTGACACTTACTGTTATGCCTGTATATGTTTGTTGTTTTTATGACTCTTGCTGATATGATTGTATGTTTAGCTGTAGGGGCTTAAATAGACCCGATACCGGTTGAAAGAGACCGAAAGGGGTGAAATAGACCCAGTACCGGTTGAAAGAGACACATAAAATAGTTATCTAAACTGGATTTTTCTTATGTTTCATCTAAACTGGATTTTTCTTATGTTTCATCTCGTTCAAATATCATTTTCTTATGATTCTTTTGGATTTTTCTTAAAATAGACATTGATCTTTTAAAAATGTGTTAAAATAGTTATCTAAACTGGATTTTTCTTATGATTCTTTTGGATTTTTTCTTAAAATAAACATTCATATCGATATATAATTTTTTCAAAGTTTCATCTCATTTACATTCATGTGTACACACGTAAATCTAAACTGGATTTATCTTATGTTTCATCTCGTTTAAATTCACATGTACCTCTGAACTATTTTTTTGGTTTCAGAATATTTCAAATTCACATTTAGAATCTAATCAATCTATAGTTTTTATATATTAATTCATATTAAAATGGCTACTATAATCAACTTTTGCAAGAATTCTAGATATGTAAATGATCATATGAGAATGATAACTATTACAAAATATAAAAATAATTATAATACGTAGGATTACAATATGTTATGAGAATAGTAATATATTATTATCCTTTAATATTATCCATAATTATCATTTAACTAATTCACAATCTATTATTTTCATGCATATATTCATTCATATTTTAACACAAAATATATATAAAATACACAATTTAATATAGTTCATTCTCAGTTTTAATACATAAAATTCACAACTTAAAAAATTCGGTATACACTAATTCACATATTTAGAGAAGTAAAAACGCAAACTCTACCACCACCGACTACTATACGATGCCACCAACCTCCCGTACCACCGTAGAAACCACCCCGCTAGGGGGTTGTCACCCCTTGGACCCCGCTACCAGGGGCGCTATCCCGGGACCCCCATGGTTCAGGGGCTTCACCCCTAAATAATAATGTACATTAAATCTTAATAAACTCACAAGTGTGCAATCCGCACCACTATTGCTTGTTCAATATTTATTAAGATTATATTGTTTAACAAATTAATCATGTTACACTTAAATAATATTAGTGATACATATCACCAACATCTCTTCTCTTTCTACATAAGTTGTCGAAAAATCTTCATTTGCCTCAACAAACTGGCCGATTTTTTTTTCACAAAAATTGGATTAGGCTGCGCACTTTCTCTTGTCGCTCCGACATTGTACCTTACCGGAAAATCTTCATTAAAATTACAAATTCGTCGGAAATAAAATTTTAGAGTTGGAAATATATCTGAAAATGAGATGTGAAGAAAGTCCATATATTAATGATTGGTGGGTGGAAAATTAATAGGTACAGATTGGATAGAGAAGGCATTTTAGTTAAGGGAAATTGATGCTTGCCTTTGATATTGTTTCTTTATTTTTCAAAAATATTTCTTTATTACATTGTACTATTATATTTTATGATAAGTTCTGCAATAATTACATATTTTAGAAGCCATGAACTTGTATATTAAGGAAAAATAATGGTCCAAATTTTAGTCGTAGTTCAAAGTTCACAGGCCAACAGTAAAGGCAAACATCTCATCGTACCTATACGACATATATTCCCAAATTGCCCCTTGCTTACTGTAATTCCGTACTCTACACCTGCCCACGCACACGTATTGCCACCTCCCAGCAGCAGTAAAGCGTGTTGGTGGAAACAACCTAGAGCCAAATCAACAATTATTTCTCCTCTCTTTGCCCCATGTACTATTCTCTTATGCTATTTATGGTCCCTCTACTATCATCTTTATTATCTTTCGCATCTTCTAAATTGGCTTCTTCACCTTCTACTGTACATATTTTTTGTATCTCTATATTATTTGTTTTTAATCAAAACAAACTTGTAGTTTGGATGGGCAAATTGTAAAAGAATTAGCAATAGAAAGGTGAAAATAGAATTTGAGCATAATAGAAGGGGTTAGGAAGAATATTTACACATATTCGTTACACAACAAATGGTTCCTCAACACAGTAGCGGGATTCCCGGCCTCTCCCTCAAACGTTTCCCTTTTTGTAGTTACATGTATTCTTATTCAAATATTTTCTTTTACCAAATCAGGTACTTGTATAGTTGTATAAACGAATTATTAATAAATTCGTACCATTTGTGCTTGATAACTGATACTAATTACCAAGCTTTTGATGATTTTATCGATGGATGTTAAATGAAAGGTATATAAATAATGTTTTTATAGTATTAGTTTTCTTAACACAAATGCTGTTTGTCATATTAGTTAGGATGCAGAATCATACTCATAAGTCATAATGTCTAGGTTAACCATATACATTCAAATGATTGGTTTTTATACAACAGTTTTCTATATTTAAATGTTTAAATTATTGTGTGCAATGTGAATTATTATTACATGGTTGTGTAGATTCGCTATTCTAGTGTTCAGTAAGTACTACGTAATACTTTTTTTTTTAATATACACGAGGTTATTTATTTAAGCTTATAGTAAGTAATGGATATATACATATGTTATCGGTGACAAATCAAAGACGTATAATCATTGGTCTTAAGTGACTCAGTAAACAATGGTTAGATCGAATGAATCGATATATTTTTGTAAATAATTAATTAACTAAGAAAAAGTATATTTTTCTCATATGATAAACTGTCAATAATCTATTTGGTTTGCCATGAAGTGCGGAACTCTTTGACTAAATCAATGTTTTATTTTGTTGACTATAAATAAATATTATTCATTAAACTACCACAAGTGTACAAGTGTATAATTTGCATGGTCATTTCGTCAAGGACATTTTCAATGTATTATATTATTTATTTGGACTAAAAATGATATGAATATCAATTTATCTACAATATAAAACATTTAATTTTTTACATTAAAACATAGTATTTTGAGTACATATTGTTTTGTTATATCAATTTTCAGTAATATTCTACTTTCTATATGTTAACTTTACAAACTATTCACATATTTTAATATTTATAATAAATTATATTATTATATTATTTGTAATATGTTATATATTATAATTTTTCATTAACTGTTACAAAAACTTTCAAATCTTCCATCGATCAAGTGGGTCCTATTCTTGCATGAAGACTGACTTTGACATCTTTCTAAAGATCCCATCATATTTAAGTCCCTGTTTAAATAGAGCCGGTGTATGCATGTGCGTGGGTGTGTGTGTTAGCGAGAGAAAACTAAAGAGAGTGAGAGATCTAGAGATGCTGAGTAGTGTGGATGAAAAAACCAGAGTGAGAAAATAAATAATCCACAAGCTTATGTTGTTTATCCGGCGATGTCATTTTCCGGCAGAAGGCGGAGATCGACAATGTATTCATCGAAGGTGTTGCTCCTCGTCTTCTTTTCAGTGCTTCAAATATGGGTGTTGAGCAGCGATTGTTGCAAGGTAAGAGCAATAAGGATACTACCATCATCATTAAGCAAAGATCCAGACGATGTTAAAAGATTAGAGCTTTACAAGAAGTTCTTCAATGGCAGATTTCCTAAAATCATCAACAGTACTGGTACTATTTCAAAGGGCAAAGGCTTTCAAGAAAACAAAAGAAAAGTACCCAGTTGCCCAGATGCTCTCCACAACTAGAAACTTTTCGTCTTTTCTCTATATTCTGTCCCCTTTTGTTTTACAAGTTCGTTTATCATCCAAAATACCCACGTTTTTCCCACTACTTTTATGATATAACTTGGTAATACTAGGGTGAAAACCGTGGGTATTTTGGTATTTCATGGGCAAAAATGCTTGTTTTTTTTGGTTGGTAGATGAAGAACGGGATCCATGATGTATAAATATATACTATCTGAAACTTAATATTCATATACTGTACACTTAATTCTTGCACCTTCTGTTTTAGCTTTGGATATTCATTGTGTATTTGTATGTTTTGGTTATTTGGTGAATGGTCCCTTGGATCTACAAACACCATCTCAACAAATTTAATAATGGCTCATTTACTTTGACATGATTTGTCATCCATATGATCAGTACGCCCACACCCCCATGACCCATACCCTTGAGGTGAAAGTTCTATAAAGATGATGATCATTGTCAGATTTGTAATTAGAGCAATAACAATACGTTTACTAGATTCATGATATCATTCATGGGTGTAATAATGCATGCTAGAATCTTTAATTTGATCCTCTTGGACTTAATGATTGGTAACTTAAGGGTAGTTTAGTCATTACCAAACGGTTTTACTTTGCTATGAATTCACAACGTCCATGTAATATATGTATTAGATAAAAAAAGACCAAAACACATCGCCATTTACGTGCATGCACCCCATGACTTTTTATGTTTTAAGATCTGCAAATGATATATGATGACTGAAGCATTTGGCCGAACCGAATGACCGGAGATGATAAGAACAAATGTCAATAAGAACAATCAATCTTCTTAAATGATTTATCTCAAATTGTTATAGAATTCATAATCTCAAAACAAGTAAATAATGGTAAAGAAAATTTACCATATCTATAATAGTTCCAAATTATAATTACTTTAAAGGATAACAAAATTTAGTTTTTTACATATTTAGTCACTAAACGTACTTATTGATATACATTAACTTGTTGAAATTGTTCAAAAAGTAAAAATATAACTTCTAATATGGGTTTTAGGGGTGAGGAAAAACCGAACTGATAAAAGAAAAACCGCAATAAACCGCAACCGATAGTGCAATTTTTTTTTTTTGAAAAACCGAATTTATTAGTGCGGTGCGGTTTTTATCTAGAAACCGGACCACCAAAACCGAACCGCACCGCAATCTTATATATTGAACTTGATGGTAATTAGTAATTAGGTATTAGGTTTAATATGTGAGTTTGTCACTTTGTGTTTGTGATTTAATGATTATGTGTAAAATGTAAACACTATGTGGGCAACAACTTGCGGGCTTGTAACTTCTAAGCACAAATTGAATAAAAAATGATCTTGGGAATATGGGTTACAAATGAAGTGATCAAGTAAACAACATAAAAACTCAAAATTACAGCTTCTAAATGTGAGGAAACGAAATGGCAACATGTCATATAATCATAAATCTTCACATGAACACCACAGTTAAAAAAATCGTACCGATGGACATAAAAAACCGCACCATATGTTTGACACGGTTTAAAACCGAAACCAAACCATTGAAAAACCGAAACCGCACTAAAAACCGCAAAACCGAACCATTGAAAAACCGCACTCAACGGTTTCTAGAATTCAAAAACTGCACCTTGCGGTTTGCGGTTCGGTTTGGCCCTAAAACCGCACCATGTTCACCCCTAGTTTTGCTGGTTTCCGATTTTTTTTTCCAAACATGAATATTCCAGTCATTTCTCCGGCCAAACATGAAAAATAAAGTTTAGAAAATCGATTTCATCAAAAACTTAAGAACAAAATCGATTTTGTTCTAGATTCATGTTCATGGGTTCTTTGATTTTGTTCCACAATCATGGGTAAAATCTTAGTTCATAACACACACCCATATATGAGTTCTTGAACACACACACCCAACAAATCCATATACGAGTTCTTGAACACACACACACAGTCACACACACATACAAAGATGAACAAATTAGGAAGAACATACGTAAAAATTGATTTAGGGTTATGATTTTCAAAGATGAACACAATGGGAATAAGGGTTTGGCAGGTTTTTATTTAGGGTTATGTTTTTCGATTTACATTGAAGAACATTCCAATTTTCAACTTAGGGTTCCAATTTTTGATTTAGGGCTCCGATTTTCAAAGATGAACACATCATGCAGATTTAGGGTTTCAATTTTCGATTTTCGAAGATGAATACTCAAATTTTTTATTCGTGTTCCGAACACTATGTTCGTTCATGTTTTTTTTTTGTTCAAATTTTGTTCATAAATTGTGAAGAATGTTAGATCACATTCAAAAATCATGAATAACATTCAAATTTTGTCCAAAAATCAATTTAGAAATCATGACTCATCGAATCCGCCTTGGTTTTTTGGTATGGTTTATTCCCTGATGAACATATTCGAGTTTCAGAACTCGCCGGAAAATTCACTTGGTCAAAGAACATGTCCGGAAAAATCATGTTTGGACGTAAAATTCATGCTTGGATGGAAAACTCATGTTTGACAAAACCTACTATTACAAGTCATACTGGTATATGTTGAACAATTTCTACAAGTTCAACGGTATATAAAAGATAAACTTAGTGACTAAATGTTTACAAAAACTAAATTTGGTTATTCTTACAAGTCATTATCCATAATTCTTATAAGATTTTAATTTTGTGATTGATAAAAGTCTTATTATTATTGAATTGATCAAAAACCGATTACAGGAGATGATTATATACTAGGTGTATAATAGAATCCTAGATAAGGTCAAAAACTCATATAAATACTAGACTATTTGAAACAAGATATATACGAAGATAAGAATAATCTCAATACTCCCTCTCAAGTTGGAGTGTGTATATCACAAACACCCACCTTGCCACGGAGAAACTTGAAACGATCCGCTCCAAGTGCTTTAGTAAAAATGTCGGTTGTTTGAAATTCATACCGGATAGCAAGTGTTTTGATCTCCCCACTATTGACCTTTTCACAAACAAAATAACAGTCCATCTCGACGTGTTTTGTCCGTTTATGATAGACTGGATTTGATGCAATGTGTCTAGTAGCTTCATTGTCATACATTAGAGGTGTAGGACCCACTTGAACAACATCCAATTCTTGAAGGAGCCACCTTAGCCATAAAACTTCACATATAGTGCTAGCCATGGATCTATATTCTGCTTCTGCCGAGAACCTCGACACCATTGTTTGTTTCTTCGTTCTCCATGAAATCGGAGAACCTCCAAGATTAATAAAGTACCCTATGTATGACCTTCTAGTAGTAGGGTAACTTAACAAACTAGAATCAAAATAACCAGTGAGATATAAAGTTCAGGTTGAGGAAAAGAATAAACCTTGACCAGGAGTGGTTTTTAGATAGCGAAATACTCTATGAATTGCATCCATATGAGACTTTCGAGGTTTTCTCAAGAACTTACTTAACTGATTTACTGCAAATGTTATTGCAGGTCGTGTGACTGAGAGGTCGTCCAACCAATCTTCTGTAACGCGAAGCATTGACTTCTAGAGTTTCATCATCTTTTCTCAACTTTATGTTTTGCTCCACTGGAAAAGCATTGGGTTTGCTTTCCGTAACACCACAGTCTTCATGAATATCCAATGTATACTTTCTTTGACTAATAACAAAGCCTTCTTTCGAACGAGTGACTTCTACTCCAAGAATGTATTTGAGTGGTCCCAAATATTTGATACTAAAACAGTTTTGTAAGTGATCTTTCACTTTGTTAATTACATTAGTAAGATATCATCAACATAAATGGGTACAATGACATGCACCGAGTTTCTTCTAAATATAAAAACATGGAATGATCACATTTGATTTGTTGGAAATTGATCTCTATAAGAGCTTTTGTGAACTTTTGATACCAATTTATGTAGGCTTGACGAAGACCATAAATTGACTTTTATAACTTGCAAACCCATTTTTCATCCTTCTTGCAGAAACCTTGAGGCACCTTCATGTAAACATCTTCCTCAAGATCTCCATGTAGGGAATATATGTTCACGTTATTTGATGTACTTCTCACTCTTTCTTTGCAGCAACGGCTAAGGCACATCGAACATTCACTAATTTAGCTACCGGTGCAAATGTCTCATGGAAATCTATTTATTCGATTTGAGTGTATCCCTTTGCTACTAATTTGGCTTTGTACCTTTCCACCTCACCATTAGGCTTGTATTTTATTTTATAAAGCAACTTTTGAGTTGATAACTCTCTTTCCTACTTAGGACCAAGTGTCATTTTCTTCGAGGGTCGTTATTTCTTTCTTCATTTCCTCTATCCATTTCTGATCTTTTACAACTTGAGTGAAGTCTTTTGGTTCTTTATTTAAGGTGATTGATGCTAAGAAAGCCTGGTGATTTTTTGAAAATTTATTATAAGAGACAAAATTGGAAAAACGATATACCGTGGAGTCGACTGACGTTGAAGAGCCTGAATTGAGAGTGGGATTGGAGGCGTTGAGTGATGGTGGAAGACCTGTCATGGAATCGTCGAGATGCTTGGGTTTTGTGCGAATACGTGTACCAAGCCTTATGCATGTTTCTTGATTGGTTTGACCAGGTGTGTCTTTAGTGGAAGACTTACTTTCATTCAGCTATGTACCTGAATTATGGGCGATGAATCGTTGGTTTGTAGGCTTTCATAACTGATGTTAACGTCCTCATCTGGTTGATTCATAGTAAAATTACTATTGTTTTGTAATTTTCCGAATTCATCAACAAAATGTTCGTTGGGAATCATCTTATGTCCTTCATATTTTTTCGCCAAAAGGAAATTCATCTTTGACAAAAGTAACACTAGGAGTTATATGGATTCTTTGATCTTTCAAATCATACAACTTGTAGCCTTTAGACCCATTGGATATCCAAGAAAAATGCAGGGTATGACTCTTTCACCAAACTTATCTTGTCTCCCAAGTACATTATGTGCATAAACTAGGCAACCAAAAACCCATAAGTGTTCATACGTAG